GAGAGAGAGAGAGAGAGAGAGAGTGAGAGAGAGAGAGAGAGAGAGAGAGAGGTTTATTCTCAGTAATCATGTCATTTGTGTAACACTCTCTCATTCTTTCCTTGTATGGGATCGAGTGCTAAATAAATGCAATAATTTTTTTCAATGAAGTGAAGTGCTTGTCATAATGAGGCCACAAAGTTTAATTGTCACCTAGCAACAGTAAAACAAACTGAATTATAAGCAGACTAGTTGAGAGCCAACTTGAAAATTAATCAAGTATAGTTTTAGATGATAAAATACTAAATTAATAAATCAAAAGAGATAATAAATTAAAAAGTTAACATACCAAGACATTTGTAAATGTTGAAGTCACAAAAAGAGAGTTACACATGTGAATTAATAGTATGCAAGCACGCATTTAGCACAGAGGCATTAAAAATGTGTGGACCCTGCTGTACAGGTTATTTTTGTATGAGGGTAATTTGAACAACAGTATATTTCACTTATCCGAAACAAATAGATCTACAGCCACAACTGCTCTGTCCAAGACAATCACTTGTACATACCACTTCCCAAAACCCCTACAGGTATTTTTTCCCTATATATATATAATAGTGACACTGTCAAAAAGGATGACCTTTTTTCTCCTCCAGAGAGTGCTTGTCTTGGAAAGGTATTGACTGAATTAGACACCAAAAAAATTGATAGGGCAAATTTGGAAATATATATGCTATTGTTAGAATACAGGAAGCAGTGCAACATTTTATTTGGCATACAACAAAATACAATAATTTGGAAACACATCAAATCAAACAGGTGGAAAAAATTATGATTGAAATCGTTACAAAACAAAAGGAAAGAAAAATAATTGTGCACATTTTCTATCACGAGTCACTATGAACTTTTCACTTTCTGATTTTTTAAAGATAGTGACTCAAGTGTACAATGTCTATTCTCTGACTCCAAAATTAAAAATATATCTTCCTTTGTTTATTAAGTCTCTCAATTGAAGAAAATGAGAGAGGGGGAAAAGTGTCATTTCTAGTGACAAAAGCACTTTTTCAATGAAATTTGACAGGATTTTTGCTTTGAACATTCTACTGGTGGTATCTAAATAGAGTCTGATCTGAGAAAATTGAGATTCATATTCAGCACAAATTTTTTACTTGGGTACAAACTACTCATTTATAGCTTAACCCACCACTATCAGTGTGAAACAATCATTCCAAACAGGAGAGGCCAAAAGGGCTTGTGAAATTAAAATAGACTGACCTCGTCCTTAGAATACTTTCCCTTCATAAAGAGAGGAAAATAAAGTCAACAACAATGTTTTCAATTCTTGAGAAAAAGCAAAACAATGCAACAACCATGGAAGTTCATCAAACAGCGTTTGATATAAAAAGAAAAACAAAAAATTATTTCTAACTGTCCACAAAACTCCCAATCATCTGGAACAGTGAAGTAAGTACCGGTACCCACTTTATAGACTTCATCAATGGCAGACCCATCAGTCAGACTTTCACTGTCTTCTTCAACAATGGCATCCAACTCATCAGAAAGTTTCCTAGACAAATTTGCTTCAGTTTGCTCCTTTTGTGCACACCCAGAAAACAGTGGAACAGTTTTAATTTCGCTTGTAAAGTACAAACACAATATATTTTTGAGAATTACTGTTTTCCTTTGCATAAAATAACAATACTGGTATGCTAAATTGTAGGCCTAATTGGTTAAATTAGACTTTAATGGAATTAGGCGTGCCAGTCTGGCAATGCATTACGTTTAATTCTCATAGATAGCTTCTTCGCAAGGGCTAATTCAGCTAAGACTACCTCTACCAATAATTAATAACTATAATTTGAGCAAATATAGCCATTCCTCACACTGGATATAGTGTTATATTAGTGGTTCAGTCTTAAACACTCAAATGCGACAGAATTTTAATGTTATGTACCTAAAGAAACTTGGCAAAGTTTGAGTTGGCTGTATCTAAAATAAACAACTTCCAACACTACCGACTGACAAAGTTGATACTTTTCTTTTGGTCATTCTTCTCTTATCCCTGTCTTCATGTGGTCCGATTTACTCAATGTTTCTTTTTTCCGAAACCTTCCGAAACCGTCTGAAACCTTCCGAAACCTTCTCAAACCGTGGTGTGAAATCTGGAAAACTCTTTTTCCGAAACCTACTTTTTAATCATGCCTTTTCGTCATTGAGAGTGTCAGCTAGGTTGGGATCGGCAGCTTTGATGAAGTGGTCATGATTTTTAGGTACCTATATATATATTTTATTATATCAAAACGAGCTCATTGCCAGAGGATTACAGAGGCCAGTCATGAAAAAAAATGGTCAAAGGGACATAGAATAATATATTGGGCTCGTTACATAGCGTAGGTCTATAATTTGAATACACTGAGAAAAATCTTCAAAACTCTAAAAATATGGAAAAAGTAAATTCTTCCTCGTTCTCGATTTTTAAAAGATAAAAAAAAGTTTAAAGTAACTGAAGACGCTCAACCAAATTTAGACTAGACTTTTTACAAAGCACTTCATGACATCTGTTTGTATTGTTTGTACGCTATAACCTATAAATCTAGTAAAGGGTACGTTAAAATACAATTATAACTAGCATAACCATTTAAATTAGTAGAGTGACAGAGGCATGATTAAAAAGTTATAAAAGAGTCAGGATGAACATATGATACACCATAAATTTGGGAACCAGATCTAGATCTTCTACCCTGTTTAAGCTGAGAATTATTATCAAGAAAGGGTTCTTTAAATGCTATTTCAGACTTTAGATTAGTATCTTTAGTTAGGCAGCCACATCCAGCCAAAGCTCAATACAAATAAATAACATCGTTCGTATCGTCCTTTTTTTTAAAAAAAGGATGCTTTCTGTATCAACAAAAACAAAGTAGCTAGGCATAGAATACGCAAGTATATGAATACAAATAGACCTAAAGCGTTAAAAAAAGCGGAGTTCAAAACAAATTTAAAGAAATGTATTTTGAAAACTCTTGAATTTCGTTAAATTTTACCTCGTAGCCCTCCATGCTTGACAACAAGACGCCGACCTCGTACGCATGCGCGTTGTATATTTATGTCACGTGACATTCCGTGTAATTTTCTTTTCGCTTTTTACTTTATGAGTTCGGTTGTTTAGGTCAGGAAATTTAATAATATTAGTGTGTATTTCTCTTTGTTTAAAATAGAGCCTTGGCCTATTAATCATTTTCATAGGATGTATATTTAGCTTCAAGTTAGAAAAGGTGTTGGAAAATTTTAGTCCTAAGGAAACCAAACTCAAAACAAATGTCCTCCGAGTGTAGTGACAAAAAAGGTAGGCCCATATAGGCCTATCACAGAATTCTACAGGGAGTTCCGCTTCTATAAGTGTAGAATTCTGTGAGGCCTATCGAACATTATAAAAACTAAAAAGAAGCTGAGCCCACACATCTTTGTGTGTGTGTGTGTTTCTTTTTCTTTTTCCTTTGTTTTGTCTTGTGTGTGTGTGTGTCTCTGTGTGTGTGTGTGTGTGTGTGTGTGTGTGTGTGTGTGTGTGTGTGTGTGTATCTGTGTGTGTCAGTCTGTAATTTGTCAGTCTGCCTGTGTCTGTGTGTGTGCGTGTGTGTCTGTTTATCTGTGTGTCTGTCTGTGTGTCAGTCTGTTTGTCTGATTGTCTTTTTCTCTGTGTGTATGTATGTGTGTGTGTGTGTGTGTGTGTGTGTATGTGTGTGTGTGTATATGTGTGTGTGTGAGTGTGTGTGTATGTGTGTGTGTGTGAGTGTGTGTGTGTATGTGTGTGAGTGTGTGTGTATGTGTGTGTGTATGTGTGTGAGTGTGTGTGTATGTGTGTGAGTGTATGTGTGTGTAGGTGTGTGTGTGTGTGTCATGTGTGTGTGTGTCATGTGTGTGTGTGTGTGTGTGTGTGTGTGTGTGTGTGATACTGTGAGAGAGTGTGAATGTGAGAGAGAGAGAGAGAGAGAGAGAGAGAGAGAGAGA